TTTAGGACCAGTATTGAGTAGGAATCAGTCAGCTCATCCGTTGAGGGGGTGCGGGTAATAATTGAAATGGCCTAATCATAGGTGGCAGTAAAGCAGTGATATATTATCAGCCTCGTCCCAGTCGTTCTGAAGCAAGCGCGAGAAAAAAGTGGATGTAGTACGAGACTGGGACCTAGGTGTGACGTCACCGCTCAAGGCGCTTCAGAACGCCTAGCAGAATTCAGTATTTTTAATATGGCGGAAAATTTATATATACAAGTAACCTTTTAATTATAAATACGACAATGTTCGTTTATCATGTGCATGTTCGATGTCTACATAACCAAATCAAACCGTATTAAAAATGTGCTCAACTAAAAAAATTTATATACAAATTTACGATACCGAGTTTGAGCAATCGTTGATGTTATTTATATGCTCGCAAGTTGTGATCAACACTAGACCATACTGGTATACACAACTACGCTTTCTACTTGACAGGTAGTTAAATTGCTGAGGTTATTGGAAATATTTGCCTGACATGACGGTGTTGTCAAAACATTTTTAGTCGGAGACTCGGCATAATTTTCAAGCTTCTAGATAGCATTTAATATGGCTATATATTTTAGTAAACACGAGTCATATTTAGCCTGTTATTCCATTCTGACCGTATGGCAACGAAACGTAGCCTATTTCATTGTTCCGACAGCATTAGAGCAAAACTAATTATTTAATTATAAATGCAAAGGAAATTTCCATAACATTTTCCATTTACAAATGAGGTATGCTTGGTAACCAGGCCAGGGACCACTTTTTTGAAATCAGGGACCATTTTACCGAAATCTGCTAGGCTCTCTCGCTGAAGCGTTCCGCACAGCACACCCAGGCATAAAACTTTTAAGACTTATTTAAATATATCGAAGCAGCGAATAGAGAGAGAGAGAGAGCCTGGGACTAGGCTGATATATTATATATCAGACCTGCCAACTTTTAAAATGCTAAATCTGGAGATTTTAAAATGGCGATATACCTGTATATAATATAAGTCAGTCATTTTGAATTTAACGGAGCCACCTCAGCGTGTACAGTCTGGCGATAATACTTGACTTTTAGTGACTAGTAGGCAAACTTGTTTTTGTATACTAAAACTGTCTGTACCAGTGTGGGTAGTACCAATGTGAAAATGCTGTACGTGCTGAGTGGTTATATTACTACCTTAAAAAATAAGCAGAAACTCGACGTTTCGAGCGAAGGCCCTTCGTCAAGAGTTAGTAGCCAGTTGTTTTTGATCTTGGTAGTCGTCTGCAGCCACAATTTTTCTTGAATTGTGACTTTTATATGCTAAATGTTTGCACTAATTATGATTTTTCACTACTTTTTTCCACTTATAAATATCAATATAAGCTTGAATTAAAAAAAAACTTGGTGTTTGCAAGCCAGGTAGGCATGAGGCTTTTTCTGCAGAACACATTTCATGTGAACATGTATATAGGCTGTAAAGCCCCCTCTCCCTTCTTTTATGAGAAATTACATTAATTGAGTACTGGTACTAGTAATATCTCACTTTGTGATAAAGGATTTATAATAATTGTGTGTGTGTGTGCAAATCAAGAAAGATGAAACAATCAAACAATGTTGAACGCTCAATTGCAATTGGCACTACTGCCAGTAAATGAGTTAGCAAAACTATCTGCTAGTATTTTACTTTGAATTTATATGGAAAAGTCAAATAGTGATAAATACACAGCCTAAACTTGACTTTAAATATATTAATTTCAGAGGTCTCGGAACTAATTTCGGAACTTTAGTATTGATCAATAGTTGATATTTGCATTGTTATTTCTATTCTTGTTTAAAATGCATGTATATGTCCCAGTTGCTGGTTCTGAATTATCTATGCTTACTGTTAGACAAAATACATTTTAATTTTTAGCATAAAATCCATGGCATATTGGAGAAACTACAGGAAGTTTTCTTCTGAAGTACATGCATTGGCTTTAGGAAATGACAGTGACGAAGAAAGCGTTTCTTTGCATCCTGTCCAAAGTAATTTGTTTGAATCCCAGAATTCCACCATTAGTGATCAATCTGGTATTAGTGGTCACTCTGATATTAGTGGTCAATCTGATATTGACTCTGACGGACTAGATTTAGTTATTGATTCTTCTGATTCAAGTCAAAGTGAGGTTGAAAGTGCTCCTCCTAGCCCACTCCCTTCTTCAGATGTAACTTTGAAAAACGAACTAGCTGCTTGGGCTACCAGAAACCGGTGTACTCGCGATTCACTAAATCAACTGCTTCAGATATTTAATTTGCACGGCCATAGCTTGCCAATGGATGGCCGCACTCTTTTGCAGACTGCCAGGAATATAACAACCCAGATGAAGTGTGGTGGTCAGTACATTTATTTTGGAATAGAAGCTGGTATTGTCCAGATTTTATCGAAGTATTCATCTGCTGTTGATAGATTAGGTGATATTGATTTGGTCGTTAATGTTGATGGTCTTCCCCTTTTTAAGTCAACGAATCACCAGTTTTGGCCAATTTTGGGTCGATTTAATAATCTTGAGGTTTTTGTAATTGGGTTGTTTTATGGAAATACGAAGCCAGTTCCTGTTGGGGAATACTTGCAAGATTTCATTGAGGAGGTCAATAAACTAAATGATACCGGAATTACACATGAAGGGAGGAACTACAAATTTGTAGTGAAATGTTTTTGTTGCGATGCCCCTGCTCGTTGTTACCTGAAATGCATTATTGGTCACACCGCCTACTTTGCATGCGAACGATGCACCATGAAAGGTTCATGGGATGGAAGGGTTGTTTTTGATGCCGATAATGATGCAGCTGTTCTGCGTACTGATGAACTTTTTTTGTCCTGTTCTTATGAAACCCATCAGAAACAACCTTCTCCTCTCTTGTTGTGCGGTGTTTCATGTGTTAAGCAATTTAGCTTAGATTATATGCATATGGTTTGTCTTGGCGTCACAAAACGTATACTGCACTACCTCAAGAAGGGGCCTCGTAAGTGTAAATTGTCTTCCCAACAGTTTTCACAAATATCAGATAATTTGAAAGCTTTACGAGGTGCAATGCCTAGCGAGTTTGCCAGGCAACCAAGGTCACTTGTCGAACTTGAAAGGTGGAAAGCAACAGAATTTCGTAAGTTCCTGCTCTACACTGGAGCAGTTGTATTGAAGAATGTGGTGTCAAAAGATATTTATCAGCATTTTCTTTGTTTGTCTGTTGCAATTTCAATCTTGTTGGACTCTGACAACAATAAGCGAAATTCACACTTGGCATTTGCACAGGATCTGTTGCACTACTTTGTAAACAATGCAAAGCATGTTTATGGAAACACTTTTACAGTGTACAATGTTCACAGCTTGAAGCACCTGCCTGAGGACGTACGGTATTTTAAGTGCTCTTTAAATGAGATTTCAGCCTTTCCGTTTGAAAACTTTATGCAGCATTTGAAGAAGTGTGTAAGGAACGGGCAAAATCCGATTGTCCAAGTGGCTAAGCGACTAGGAGAGAATATGGATGCAGGTGCAAAGCAACATGTTACCTCAAATTTTTCCAAGATAGGAACAGTATCTGATAACATCAAGGACAGTTGTTTTTTGCTAGAAGGAAACAGATTTGCCTTTGTTCAGGAGAAAAGAAGCAACGGGACATTTGTATGTAACATTCTTGATGATCGTCAGTTAGAAAACTTTTACTCCAGCCCAGCAGAATCAAAGGTTTTAAACGTGAATTAGGTTCGAGATACGCATCACAAAGCAAAGCGTGTTCTTTTGGAGGCATCATCGTTTATACGCAAAGCTGTTTGTTTGCCAGTTAGTGAAGGACATGTGCTTTTCCCATTGCACCATGAAGTGGAAAGATGTTAACTTGCAGGTTACTGACTCTGTTACATTTCATTTGTTGCATGTAAGTAGCCTACTGTAGTTGACACTCTGTCAACAAGTCGCAGTAAACGGAAACGTAGCGTCGCCGTCAGTAAGAATTGTTCTTCAGGTTTGTCTACATTATATAAAGTTATTTCAGGATTTGCGAATTGTACGTTAATATTACACCAAATATATATTGTACAGTCTCGTATTTTGATTAGCTATAATTGTGATAAATATGGACCACATTTATGTATAAACCTGGATCAACATCGGATAATGAGTTGTATTGTAGTTTACTGAGTTTACATACAATGTATATACTATATTTACTATCAGTTAAAGTGTGACTAACACCTTTGACAAATTTTTCTATGTATTATTTGGAAATGTCATTTTCACTCTCAAACTTTTGAATATGAGGTAATTATATAATTAGGGACTTGTTAATTACCATCACTAGACAAAAGAAAACTAATTTGCATTTTTCTTACAATGACCTCATAATAAAAAGTTTGAGAGTAAAAAAGTCTATCAAGAAGAACTTTTTTGTTATAGAGCTTTATTACATTTCTTTAAATGATCCAAATAATACATAGACTAAAATTTGTCTAAGGTGTTAAAATGTAACCTGCTTTTTTAACTAGGCAGCCTTCCACCATTGCCGCGATTTCGTCCAAGTCCTGATCTACAGAATGGCTTTGACGTAATTGACAGTCTTACCAAATTACTTGACAAGTCTAACTCCCCAGCCAAGGCCTCGCCCAGCTTGGATTTCGATAATTTGGGACCGTCTTCTTCTGAGGAATCTGAGCATCTGATCCAGACCCCCAAAAGAAGGAAGAGTCAACCAGGTAACAGTAGTATTCGTACGCCTGGATCCTCCCGAGTTTCACCAAAGAAATCAAGAAAAGGTGTTGCAACGAGTGACAAAGAGCGCCCTTCAGCATCTCCATTCCCAATGCCAGAAGCACGTAAGTATAATAATGAATATATATTTTTTGTATCAGGTGTTTATTTTTCCTTATTGTTACTTTTCTGCCCATTGAGCATGCACTGACTATACATATTAACCGTGTGAGGTTTAATTGTACGATCCTGAAGTAATAAATAATATATTAATCATATTATTAAACTGAACGACAAAATATAAAGCAATTAAGTTAAACCTCGCTCTTGTAGCTTTTTAGTTTGTTTTTTTAATTTTTTCATAATAGCTACTACATCATTTAACAACTTCTTAACCAAGTAATTGCTTAATTATTTATTAGGGTTTCAAATTATTGTTTCAAAGTTTCAAATCAAATTATTGTAAACATTGAATAATAAAACAGCAAGAATGCGAACTGGACTCGAAGTCCTATAGTCCAGTGTGAATTTCAAGCAATTGACATGTTTACTTTCTGTTTATATAGTACTGTATGTTTGTAGTTTTAAAGGTATAGTGCATGTCTCACATGGGACTTCGAGTCCAGTTCACACTCTTGCTGTTTGGTATTATTTAGTTCAATAATGTCCATATGTTTAATAATGTTTACTATCCGTTATTATAATTAGAAATATTCTCATGAAAGTATTAATAGAGAAAATACTTAAATAGTTTTAACACTTGTCAACTACGGAATTTGATTACTTCCATTTTATCACAGGTTTTCAAAAAAGGGTTCTTCATCTCCTAACCGAAATCCGAGACAGCTTGCAGCAAGTTGGAAAAACATTTGAACCAGCAGATTCCGCATTTCATTTGGAGCAATTAAAAACTAAGGAAGAATTTTGCAAGATGGAAGAGCATCTTCGTGATGTGGAGAAAAAGAACATGGTGGTAATAATAATGAGAAGAAGATGAAACTATAATACGTATATACATGTTTACATACGGTTGTTGAATGTCTTAAATGATTAATTTTATGTTTTGGTCTTATTAAAGGTGTCCAGAATTACCAAAATAGGTGGTTCGACGGTTAAAGACAACGTTCGCAACGTTATGAGCAGGTATAGTTTTATATTAGCTTTTTCTTATACAGTATATATACGCTTTTCCCCTTCGGTGTTGTTGAGCACTCTTTGGAGTTAATGGGCGTCTATTAGCGATAATGCAAAGCCCACAACCATTGGGGGGTTGTTTGAGCATTCTGACCCCATAACACTCTGCGCATGTCTAGATATGTTAGACCCCGTTCACACGAGACCGGACGAATTCCGGACCGTGCTCAAATTCGTCCGGTTCCACTTGTTCACACGAGAAAACGAACAAATTCGAGCACCGTTTTCCCGTGTGAACAAGTGGAACCGGACGAATTTGAGCACGGTCCGGAATTCGTCCGGTCTCGTGTGAACGGGGTCTTAGTGTTTCCGTGTTGTACCGCGTTCGTTTGGTGAGGGCAAGTTTACGTATACATATATACGAGGGTACTACATGTACCAAGCTGCAGTGACGAGGCGTTGGACGCTGAAACACGCATGTCTGCAGATCGTACTATATATAAGCTATGCCTGTATAAGCTGTACTTCGCTGCGCTCATTCGTAAACTATTGTTTTCACCACTCGAAGGAAAACTTCATATGTTCGCACCACCGTGTATATCCTCAATATATTTACAACGTTTCTCTGTATGTGTTATTGATTATAAATTGTTTCTCATTTTTTAGACTAATGACAAACGAAATTATGTCTACGCTGAACATGGATGGGCATGGCGATAAGACTGCCTTTAGACCGACTGCCTTGTTTAAAATAATAACAGGTTTGGGAACATAAATTTATCTTGAGTTTTATAATACTTTGAAAAGTTGTCATGCATGGGAGATTTTCTTGTTTTGATGGTTTCAACCAATAACATTGAAGAGGAAATCTGTTACTAGTAATACTCGTGTCTAGACAAAAAGGTGTGATAACTTGCAAATGATCTTCAAAACTTTCGTATTTAAACGATCAAACTTTTCGTTCAAACTCTTTGATTCCAAGTTTATATGTGGAAAGTGCAATATTTCAAACGAAAACTTTCTAACTCTAAAAGTATTGTTTAAAATAATACAATGCCGTTTTTTAGACGGCACCGATCGTGAAGTGCTTATACTGATTGGTTCCAATACCTACGTCTAACGCAATCAAAACCCGTTATAATTAACCCTTCACATAAAAAACTGTAAGAATCCACCTTAATTATTACGTACCATTATGATCTTATATACATTTTACTGATGTATCGATCGACTTGCATTGTCGTTTTAGAAAGCGTGTTAAAGAATTTTAATTCTAATGAAAGCGAAGTCGCCGAAAGCGTAAAAAGATTTCTAAAGTATGCCCCAGATAGAAAAGGCGGGGAAAGAAGTAAAGCAAAGAAAAAGGAGGACTAATAAAAGCTTATCTATGCGTTGTGATGTGTACATATTTCTAATTATTTATTTCAAATAAATATTGCATTAAACTATTTTGGCAAGTGCTCGTTAATTTTTACTTTGATCGATGTGCTATTGACGTCCGAAATCAGGTAAAATGCACATTGATTCCACGTATAATTGTCAAACACATTACTGATCGAGTTGACGTTGACAATTAGACGACGAATCGATATGCATTTTTACCTGATTTTAAACGTTGATACGAAGTCGATTGTCTAACGTTGAAAAAACGTCGATTTTCTAACGTCGATTCCATATGCGTTTTCAATCCTTTTTCGACGTCGTTTCGACGTCGATATTCTAACGTCTAATTGACGTCGATTCCCAGACGTTGAAACGACGTCGATTCTGAGACGTTGAAACGACGTCGATTTCCCAACGTCGATTCCATTTGCGTTTTCAACCCTTTTTCGACGTCGTTTCGACGTCGATATTCTAACGTCGTTTCGACGTCGATATTCTAACGTCTAAACGACGTCGATTTCCAGACGTTGAAACGACGTCGATTTCCCAACGTCGATTCCGTTTGCGTTTTCAACCTTTTTTCGACGTCGATTCGACGTCATCCTCTGACGTCGTTTCGACTTCGAATCGACGTCGATTTGCCGGCTGGGTAATGCCTATAATAACATACCTAACATATGTAATTATTTTTCTGAAACTTTCAGCTCTGTTCATATTAAATATTTTTTTAAAATTTAAATCAAGGATCACACAAGACGTTTTTGATAATATTTTTATTTTAGCTACGTTTCGTGTAAAAATGATTTCCATTGGGTAGAACAAGTTATCAGAGTTTCCTAAAACAGAGAAAAAGAGAGTGTAAAGAAGAGACAGGTGAGGAAATTTGATGGATTGATAAAAGAAAAAGAAGATCTCTAGAATAAAAACAGACAATTGTTAGAAGGCCACGAAAAAATGAAGAAAGAAAAGATAAAGAACGAAGTCGTTGATCTAACGAAAGATGCTATCGACAATGATATTAAGAGCTACTTGTCTTTGGGACCAGGTTTTTGTGAAGCTTCCACAGGAGTTTCGTATGAAAATATTATAGCAGAAACAGAGAAAATGTGTACAAAAATAAAGAGAGAAGGCGAGATTAACAAAACTGAAGAAGAAATAGTTGAACATGAAATTGGCGAGATACGTGAAAATGTAAAAGTTATTTTGGAGAAAGCTATGCACAAGAAATATAAAACGAATTTCACGAAAGAAGAGTTAAACGGAAAAAAGAAAGCTCTACCAGATAAAAGAAACGTATTCGTACCGGCAGATAGAGGATGTGTACAGAAATAAAGAGAGAAGGCGAGATTAACAAAATTGAAGAAGAAATAGTTGAACATGAAATTGGCGAGATACGTGAAAATGTAAAAGTTATTTTGGAGAAAGCTAGGCACAAGAAATATAAAACGAATTTGACGAAAGAAGAGTTAAACGGAAAAAAGAAAGCTCTACAAGATAAAAGAAACGTATTCGTACCGGCAGATAGAGGACGGGTAATGGTAGCTATGAACTTATTTGAATATGAGAGTGGTGAACAAAGTTATGAATTCAAGACAAAACAAGTATTGTTTGATCTCAAGGCAAAACCTTCCGTTAGAGCAAAAAAGGACTGGGATTTGACTGATAAAGTTTGTCGAGAAGGTATAAGGGTTATCGAAACAATTTTCGAAAGAGGATAAATTTCAGAGAAGGATGCGAAACGGTTAAAACCAAAGGATTGTCATGCCCCTAGGTCATCAGGATTGCCAAAAATCCACAAAGATGGTTTCCAAATTGAGAGGTGTGGTCTCAACAGTAGGATCGCCTTTTGAAAAGCTGTCAAGATTTGTCATTCCAATTCTGAGAACAATTCAAGGAAGAAATGAACTTTATCTAAAAAATTCGCGAGATTTGAAAGAAAATTTAAGAATTTTATTTGTGGAGAGAAACGAGATACTCGTGATTTATGATGTGAAGAATTTATATCCATCGATTACAATAGATGAGGCATTAAAATTTATTGAAAAGTTTGTTAAGAGAAAGTAAAACTCTAGTAAATATAACTGACTTAACCGTGCAGTCGATAATGGAAATATTGAAATGGATGTTTGGTTTGTCTTATTGTGAGTTTAACGGCAATCATTACATATTAGAAAGTGGACCAATTGACCTTGGAGTAACTGGTGAAGTCGCCATAATCTATATGGAAGAATTTCAAATTCGTGCAATGCAAACATCTCCATACCACCTAGATCAATGGTACTGGTATGTAGACGACAGTGAAATGAAGTGCAAGGAAGATCAATCCGAGGAAATACTCGATCACCTGAATAGCATTAAACCAGACGTCATTGTATTCACGAAAGGAAATCAAGTAAAAGATATGTTGCCAATACTGGATTTGAAACAAAAAGTGGACAGGAAACCAAACAAGTCGAGTGTATGGTTTATTATAAGAAGACACTGACCAACATCAATGTTAAAATGTTAAAGCGAAATCGAATCATCCTCCTTGTATGAAAATAGGCATCATCAAAGGATTTGCAGACAGAGCGCGAGCGTTATGTGATAAGAAACACGTAGAAGAAGAACTAAAGAACGTAGAAGATGTGTTTGTGGCAAATGGTTTCGAAAGACAGAAGGTTCGAGAATACATACAAGAAGATAAAGGAGAAATGAATGAGTCGGAAGGGCAAGAGTATCGAGGAATGATAATTGTACCTTACATCCAGGGCTTATCAGAATAACTCAAAAGATTAGCTTGCAAACATTCGTTTCGCACGACATTTAAGCCAGGAAATAAAATAAAATAAAATAAAATAAAGGAATTGAAGGCGAGGGCTCAACAACCACTTGGCGAAAAACAAAAATCTGTTGTCTACGAGAGCCCATGCAAGTGCAAGAAAGCGATGATTGTAGGAGAAACATCGAGGGGTGGCAGTTAACCCCAATTGTCTCAAACCATAAAATTGCCATAGCTTTTATAATATTTAATTGATTGGCACAAAATTTGGCACAATCTTAGTATAGGTAATTCTGAAATATTTGATGTGGTCGAAGGCATCACACAATTTTTAGTTACCATGGTAACAAAAAATAAACACGTCATCGAGAGGAATTTGTGGAAGCAATATCTCAAAAGGGAAAATAGTTACAAAGCCCAAACTTTCTGATGTTACTTTATACTTTGTAAGATGTGCAAGCTGTAGCCAATTTTTTATTTGATCAAAACGCACGGTCCGAGCAATAAAAAAACCCCGTTTCCATGGTAACAAAGGAAGTATCGCAATTTTTGAAAAACTGTTTACAGATTGCATAAAGCTACATTAAATCTACATACTGTCCAAAAATCAGGTAATTCCAATTAATTCTCTTCTGTTTATCCTTTCCACAAATTCAAAACAGTATAACTTTTTTGTTTTGAGAAAATTGAGGTTAAACATAGTAAACACATTTGAATCAATTTTCAACCTGATTATGAGGAACTAATAGGATAAAGTCAACTATAATGTCAAATACTCACAATTCTTAACAAGAAATTCAACTATGATAGCTTGGGGTTCATAAAGTATCTCAAAAATAAGTTTAGGCATACCAGCTGCTCATAACCGAGTTCTGTGTTTAAGTTCTGCGTTTTTTGGTATGACCGATTACTTCCATAGTAGGCATAACAAATTTGATCTGGACCTTGGCAGTTCTTTTCCTTTTCTTCGGTTTTTCCACAGGGATATCTGGTTGTGCATTCAGGCTGAATCCACCAGGTTGGTAAGCAGTCTTGTCAGCTTTCGACTTCCGTTGTGCACGAAGTTTCCGCCTTTGATCTCGGTACTTCAAGGTTACTTTCTTGGCCGCATTCTTGATTCTGGTGCAATCTTGCTGTCTTAGTGCTCTCATGGTGTTTATACCTGGGGTAAGACCACACAACTCCATAACATCTGCTTTGCTTGCAGCACCAGTATTGAAGAGAGTCACTGTTTCACATGCAGCAATTCTTACTCTTCTTGCGCCACAAAACTTTGTTTTTGGACATCGAGACCAAAGCATTCCATTTGCAGCTTCATTTTGATTCTGTGTCATTCCTTTTAGACACCTATTTAGAAGATCACCCTTTGATAGTCTTGAGAAAATTGGTTCAAGTTCTTTCATAAACAAGTCTGGAAAACGATTGTCCTCATTATACGTTGATGTGTCTTCTGTTTTGTCTTTCCAGTATTTACACCAGGTATCACCAGACTTTAGGCAGTACTGGTGCTGTTGATCAAGAGATGCATTGTTTTTTATCATATGATTCTGGATAGCCCTAATGCTACGTTGCATTCCTTCTAGATCTCCTTTATTTTCCCTGATAGCTTTGCCATAAAAGTTCTGCATTCTGTCAATCACCTTGTCTGTCAACCGATTCTTACCTCCAACTGTTTTTCCATCCGATAACTTTTTCCCTTTCATATCAGACTTATACTTTATCAGAGCAGTCCCTAGTCTCTTTTGGACATGTCCAACACATTCTTCTTTGACTATAACATAATCAACACCAAATTTTTTCTCCAATGCTTCCTTTACCCGACCAAAGCTACTGCTGTCTCCGTCTCCTACAAATGTTGTGTACTTCAATTTCCTCGATGAAATACTGCGACTAAATATTTCAACTGCAGCAGTAGCTTCCATTTCCTCAGATGACCCATGATGATTAATTTGGCACCTTGTCTCATGTGCCTGCTTCCATTCTTTATATTTGTCCGAATCCTTATCATCATCATTGTGAGCCTTGCACTCATGGCAGAAAAGAGACTTCACTACATAATCCAAAATCTCACCAGTGTCAACTGAAATCACAAAAATGACTCCAATTTTTGATGAGTGGCCTCTTTTCTGCCATGTACCGTCAACAGTCACTGCGACAGAAGCAACATCATCTACAATATCATTCGGTTGTTCCCTAGCAACCTTCTCTCTCAACCTCCTGGCGGCATCTTGCATTTGCTGCTCAGCATTTCCAATGGCTGCCTTTTCAATTTGTATGAGGTGTTCATTGTATGCCTTTTTGGTCACAGGAGGAGGTAAATTCATTGTAGCACAAAAGTTAGTTAGTCCACTTTGTCCCAAAGATGCCAACACTGACCGACGATTTACATCATGTGCCCCTCCACCTTTGCCACCCAAACGTTTGCTTGTTGACAACGGGGTTTCAATCTTGCAAGACGAACATTTCAAAAATAAAGACTCTGACAAACCTTCTCTTTCTTTATTTCTCTGAAACAGTTGGAGCTTAGAAGAAGGTTTACAGCAGGAGCTACAAACTGCCGCATCTGAGATACACTTGCTCAAAAGTTCGGCATCCTGTATTTTGTAGCCAGAAGCGACGTCTACACTGGGCACGGGTCCTAGACCGACTTGTCGTGCTTGTTGACGAGTGAAAACATGTTCGTTGTTCTCAAATTTTTCAAAAGAGCTGTTTAGCAATTTTTTGTTGAAATACTTTCCCTTTCCGAAGGCAAAACAGAGGTAGAAATGGCGGTAACGGCCGCAGAACTTTCAGGATTCAAATGTGTAGTGCTATCAATGTTGTTCACAGATGTCGAAATTTCTTGCGGTCTTTTCCCAAAAAATCCTCTCTTTTTCTTTCTCTTTGTTGATCTAAACTTTCTTTTATCATCTCGAGCCATATTTATTAAAAAAAAACTAAAAAACGTTGTCTAATGTACTCGATTGAAATGGATTTATCAGTGTTCACTTTGTGTGTTTGTCAGCCATATTAGCATTTCAAAACAAAAACACGTTGCGTTTGAACTTGGAGGTCTGGACACAAGTTAAAAGCTCATTTTCAGAGGGGGTAGTTCTCTTCTTTAAAATGAGGGGGGTTTTGGTGATTTTTCGCAAATTTTGGGCTCAAAATGACCTTAGCAACAAAAATAAACAAGCTCTTGTAGTTGGTTGCTATGCAACTTTTACCTACATTCCATCAGATATACCAGCATTGCAGGCAAAATCGCGCAAAAGTCACAAAATATAGATCCCTGAGTGAAAATATTATAATTTTCCTATCTTATAAAGCAAAAAAAATTTTTTTTAAAAATTCTGACTCTTTATGGAAATTTAGGGTTAACTGCCACCTTTTAAGGTGAGAAAGAAGGAACACGAGAGCAAAGTAAGATTAACAAACGAGGATACGAGAAATGGACGGATAGCGGTGGCAGAAGAACGAATGGGGAAAGACGACGGAGGTTTAGCAAGGCACAGTATAGAGTATAGAGTATACGAAAGAAATAGACTGGGAGAACACGCGAGTATTGAGAAATGAATATAGATTAAGACAGCGGAGAGTTGTAGAAGGGATTGAGTCTCTTAGGATATGGCATTAAAAAAATAAAGTTTTAAACAGTTTTGAATCATTGATGACTTGGAGGCCAATATTGAGCGGACTTTATCAAGGAAAACGAGCGCGCGCGTGCGCCCACGCAGTTTAATTTAAATGAGCTTGCGTGAAATAAACGTTTAAAGTTGTACACGTCAAATTTAAGAACAATTTGTGTAAATAGCCTGAGGACGGATAGTAAACTATTGCTCTCTTCGCTAATGACTCGAAAACTCTCTTCGCTAAAAAAACTTCAGTTATGCACTGCAGTGTAAAATTGATTGGTTAAATCAACCAATTTTTTTAGGTTGCAACCATTGGGAATTTGTCATTTTGGCCAATTGTCTAATTAGCTACTCGCAATTAAATTTGGTTCCTTTGACTTTACTTCATTGGTCAAAATATTGCATTTATTCAACTGGTTAAAATTTCGCACAAAAATATTTATAGTATAAAGAAACTTCACTGAACAAAAATTTCCGTGCAAATCTTCCAAAATTGTTGTCGATGGAGGAGGGAGAGGGGTTGACGAAAAAACTTTTCCTCATCTGTTAAAATTCCTCGTTACTTTTAGATAATTATTTTATTTTCAACTACTATATTGCATATGCCTTCTTTTTAAAATTATTTCCTCCAAATTTTGCGCAACTTACGTTTATAATTTGCGCCGAAAATTCTCACGATGAGCGCGATATTTTACAATGTAAGCGAAGATAAATTCAATTCTTTGAACGAAGATGGAACATCAGGGATGAATGAGAAACATCGAGGTAAGAATGCTGTCACGTTTTCTATATAATGGAGCAATTTTGAAACGAAATATTTACCATCTTCATTCGTAAATTTTGAGCATGTGTACCTGCCTAAATATATTTGGATTTGCCGCCACAATATTTGCATTAAAACGAAGATATGAATACATTTTTATACAAAGGCTTACATGATATAAAAACAGTTTTATACAAAGGCTTACATTTGACACGATATTTATATCAAAATATGTTTATTGTAATGGAAAATGGTATAGCTGTGTTTATGACAGATTGTATTTAAAAAGATTCAAACAGTAATTCTATTCAATCCTCATATGCCTACCTAGGCATGCATCAACTAAACATGGTTTGAAATAATTTATTCACTTATATCAACTGCTACAACTGTTTCTAATATTTATTCATATATAACAGTGGTTTGACTTTACCTTGTTACTGTATTAAAATTGTACATGAAAATTAGTTGCCCTGAATAAAATTCACTTGCCATCGGACAATGGCCACTGGCGTACCTGGGTAGGGGATATAATTCTTCCGAACTTTGCGCGATCGGTTGAAGTTAACGAAGAAGTATGCCACAGACCGCAAAAGAAGAACTCAATTAGGCGTGTCTAACAAAAAGGCTCCGAATAAGTGCGCCTGCATGGGCGGTGAAAGACGTTTAGCCAGTATAACATGCAGGTGGTGATAGTGCTACTGCCCGAGGTCGTTGAGCACATCATGGTGTGAGGCAGCGTGCGGAACATGCTGTAAGAACACGTGGAGGTGGACGTAGATGTCAAGAAAATGCACGAATGTCTATAACATATACTGCAGTAGACGTTCTGAATTCCCTGGCAGAATAAACTGATATTCACATGAAGGATTATACATTAATTATAGTTAGTAACACCACAAGTTCGATTATACATTCTAAAAACAATCTGGTTACATTTGGGTTAATTCAACCAAGATGGGTTAAAAATCCACCTGCACAATCGTGTGTAAAAAATTAACCACTTTCCTGGTTAAAATTCCAATGAAGTATACCAATTTTTTGTTGAATTGACAATTTTCAACCAGGAAATGTGTTTATTTTACCTGGAATGTGCTATGTGGATTATACACGTAAAAATACTAGGTGGTTTGAAGGACTCGCTGCTTTTTTACTTTTTTGAAAGCACTTATTCTTTACTATTAGCAGGAACTTTATGTTTTTATGTTCATGTTATAGTAATAATAAAATAATACGATGTTAAGTTATTCGAATCCAAACGTTTACTATATAATTATATATTTTTTTTCTATTTCAATTTTGCGAAACAGTATTGTTGACATTGAGGATATCTTTTTGTATGAACAAACTTTGAAGGCACAAATAGCAGGTCGTACAGTATAAGATCATAATCATTAGCCCTGGGTACAAAATTAATTTATATCATTTACATTTCGTCAAAAAAATAAGGGTCGCCGTTTTAAAATTTTCAAGAATGTTTTCTCAATTTTGGTTGAAACATAAATCATTTGAAGCTCTTCTTATTCGAATAGTCTTATAATGTTACAAGCGTCTTATAATGTTACATAAATCGTATGAAACTCTTCTTTTACAAATAGTCTTATAATATTACAAGTGATAACATCCCAACGGTGCGCAATAACGAACACAATCAAAATATGCGTTTTTTCTGTCTGTGTGCTTCAGAAATTAAAAATATCTTTCCTATGCTGCGCACTATGAGCGAATGTTGCGCGGAAATTTGTTCTATTGTTACCACCACCACACTCCACCACCACACGCCACCACTGCACTCCACCACCGCACTCCACCACCCCACTCCATCACCGCACTCCACCACCAAACTCCACGACTGCACTCCACCACCACACACCACCACCGCACTCCACCACCGCACTCCACCACAGCACTCCACCACCACACTCCACCACCACACTCCATCACCACACGCCACCACCACACTCCACCACCACACTTCTCCACCACACTCCACCACCGCACTCCATCACCACACGCCACCACAACACTCCACTATCACACTCCATCACCACACGCCACCACCACACTCCATCACCACACTCCACCACCACACTCCACCACCACACTCCA